TGAACCCAAGTTCATCTGTTCTAAAGCCCACGCTGTGGCTTTCCCATTCAGCCTCTCCAGATGAGGAAAGTGAGTCACAAGAGGCACTGCCAGGGTCAGCTCCCCAGTATCTCAGCACAGAGGAGGTGAGACCAGACTGTGGCCCCCTCATGCTCCCAGCTCATGTGAGGAGCCCCAGGAGCCCCCAAGTCGCCATCTGTCTGTGTCTATCTGTGTCAGTGCATTCGGCCTGAACCGTCCTAAAGCCCTTGGAGTCAAAGCCCTGCCTCCTGTGACATCTTAGGTAAAAGGTAGTGTTCTCCTCAGGGAGCCCAGCAGAGCTCACCCAGACATCGGTGGTGGTCTGCTGGCCACTGAGGCCCTTCTCACTCTAGGGGACTCCGCTTCATGCCCTAACTTCTCTCATTCATGCTCAGAGTCAGAGGAAACTGGTGCCTCATGAGCCAGAGCAGACATGAAGCTCAAAGACATGTTCAGGCCGGGCGTGGTGGCTCACGCCTGTAATCCCCCAGCACTTTGGGAGGCCGAGATGGGGCAGATCACGAGGTCAGGAGATTGAGACTATCCTGGCTAACATGGTGAAACCCCATCTCTACTAAAAATACTAAAAATTAGCCGGGCATAGTGGCGGGCGCTATAGTCCCAACTACTCGGACTGAAGCTGAGGCAGGATAATGGTGTGAACCTGGCAGGCAAGGCAGAGGTTGCAGTGAGCCGAGATCGCGCCACTGCACTCCAGCCTGGGCGACTGAACAAGACTACGACTCAAAAAAATAAATTAAAAAAAAAAGATGTGTTCAGTTTGGCCAACAGTGTTTAAACACACACACACACAGACACACATACACACACACACACACACACACACACACACACCCCGATGTTTAAAATGTGAAGTTTCACACTGAAAGCCATATTACCAAACTCCCTTGGGGAATTGGAAGCTCTGGCCATACTGGGCCCATCTTCCCACTTGGCATCCAAGGCTAAAGCCAAGTGGCCACCATGTCCCCTGGTGAAGGGTGAGCTCTGGAGTGCTCCAGTCCCCACCACCCCCTATTATCTCCCCCCACTTACTTCACCTCCCTGGACCCAAAAGACATCTGAACTCCAATCCCTTAGGATTGATTCTATGACCTTACCCTTCTGCCTCCTGCCCTGCTCAGTCCCAGGAGATCCCAGGCGACAGCAGCCAGCCTGTGTGATGCTAGCAGGGCTATGAGAAATAGGAGTGGGGCCACTAGGATGGAAACTCAAGGGTCTCTTCCAGACCTGTTTGTGTGGACAGCTGTTCCCAGTGACCCCGTTCAGCTAAGACTGTCAGGCTATCTGCATCTGTCTGCGTCAGTCCACTCAGCCTGAACTGGCTCCCTCTCTGCCTGGTGGGGGCCTAAGTGCAGGTGCTGATGCCCATTTTCTCTGCCCTGATGAGGCTTCAGGTTCCTTGGTGCTTAATGGGGCAATGGCATTTGGCCAGAAGGCACCTGAGACAGGTGAAAATGACCTCCCCTGCCCATTCCCTCCCCTGGGGGCTGCTGCCCACATCCACATGGCCTTTTAGGGAGGCTCAGCCCCCCACCCCACCCACTACCAGGCCCACTGCCAGGAGAAGAATCAAAACCCACTCTGTCTTCATCCCCCAGGCTTCTAGGAAAAAGCCCTAGAACAGATTCGGAGGCAACACTGCTCACTTCATGGTGAGCTGAGATGCTGGTGCCGCAATGCAAGAGACAAGAAATGAGTAGCAAAAAGGGGAGGGAGGTGGAAAAATTAAATTTTGCATGATCAGCAAGGTTTCAAACAATCGCTCGCCAACTGAAGTGGGTGCCACGTCTATAAGTCATTCTGTTTTATAGACCATTAGGATCTCCAGAGAGAACCTGCATGGAGACCACTGCTTTTTGTTGAAATTAAAATGTCAGAGAAAAAGAAATAGAACAAAACAGGGAATCTGCAATTAATTACCAGGCCATAAAAATTCAATAATCAGGAAGCAGAGCGGCCGCAGGCCCAGAGGTATCACAGCCAGTGTAACAAGAATGGAATACATTAATCTTTTCAAATTAGTTTTTTAATCTGACGGGGATATATGGTGACATGCCTCCCCTCCCCACCCGCTCCCCCTCAACCTCCACGGCTCCGGCCTAAAGCCAGGCTGTGGGAGGGAGTTAACAGTGTGAGCTGGGGGCCTGCTGCAACCTGGACCCCTGGGCTGAAGGGAGAGGGCCTTCCCCGGCCCCACCTGAGTGCAGGGCTCTCGTCCCAGCAGTGGAGCCAGGAAGGCCTGTTCGCCCTGGGTCCCAGGGTACAGGGGAGCGGTAGGCGCGTTTCCTCTATTGGCTGGGGGGTCTGGGCGGTGGTCTCTGAGCTTTCCTGCTTGGAAAATGGGAACAAGATCACAGCCGTCCCCGGATCCTGGAAGCATTGTGTCTGGTGCCCCGCAGGTCTTCAATAAAGGGGTCCTGCTGTTACTATTTTTACTCCTGGCAGCAAGGAGCGCCGGGCAGCGCCAGGACTCTATTCAAGAGCATTTATTTAGCGCCTGCTGTGTGCTCAGTCCTGGGAAGGAGAGACCAGCATCCTCAGTCCTTACCCTGCAGAAAGAGGCTCACAGTCAAGTTAGAGGCCAAGCAAGATGTAGAGGGCAAAAGAGTAAAGGGCAAGAAGCTTGTCCTCGAGCAGGGCTGCTGGCCCGGTGGCAAGTCCCAGGAGGGCCGAAAGGGCACCCGGGCACAGAGACGGCAGGCTCTGCCCCCACACAGCCGTGTGCTCCTGGGGCTGCCGGCTGATTGGTCTAAGAACCAGCCCCACCCCGTCTCTGATTAGAGGCCGTGCCCTCCAGCCCGGAGCCTCCCCACAGAGCTTCGCCGCCTCCTTCCTTGCCTCCACTAGGCCCAAGGTTCCTGCAGCTCAGATGACTCCAAGTTTCTGGCCTTCGTCCTCAGCCAAGCCACTCTCTCATTAACCCCTCAACAAGCCGGCCTCTGGGCCTTGCTCAGGCTTAGCCCCTGCCTGGGATACCCCCCAGTGGATTTCAATGCCTAGTCAGCGTTGTTAAAATGGACTCTTGGCCGGGTGCGGTGGCTCACGCCTGTAATCCTAGCACTTGGGAGGCCGAAGCAGCGGATCACATGGTCAGGAGTTCGAGACCAGCCTGGCCAATATGGTGAACTCCCTCTCTACTAAAAGTACAAAAATTAGCTGGGCATGGTGGCAGGCGCTTACAGTCCCAGCTCCTCAGGAGGCTGAGTCAGGAGAATTGCTTGAACCGGGCAGGCGGAGGTTGCAGTGAGCCGAGAACATGCCAGTGCACTCCAGCCTAGGCGACAGAGCAAGACTCCGTCTCAAAAAAAAAAAAAAGGATTCTTACAGCCTCCACCCCAGGGGACATCTGCAGAGCAGCAGGAACGTAACAGTCTGCCCTTCGGACTTTGACTCCTTTTAAAGGTAACATGACAGCTGACTAAGTGCCAGACCCCATGTAAGTCCTCCGCCTGGATTTTGTTATTTGGTCCCCTGGGAGGTTGGGACTATTCATAACCCCATTTCACAGGGGCAGAAGTCGTGAAGCTTAGGCCACCCACCAGTTCTGTGTGACCTGCATCTCTGAAACTAGCTTCACTAAGAATACCAACCAGAGGCCAGGCATGGGGGCTCACACCTGTAATCCCAGCACTTTGGGAGGCTGAGGCAGGAAGATCACTTAAAGCCACGAGTTCAAGACCAGCCTGGACAACATAGAAGGGGTCCAGCCTGGACCCCTTCTCTTAAAAAAAAAAATAATTAAAAATAATTTTTTTTTTAATTTAGCCAGGTACAATGGTGACTGCCTGTGGTCCCAGCTACTTGGGAGGCTGAGGCAAGAGGATTGCTGAGCCCAGGAGCTCGATGCTGCAGTAAGCAGTAATCTTGCCACTGCACTTCAGCCTTGCCAGAGACCTTGCCAAAAAAAGAAAAAGAACAAGGCCAGGCACCATAGCTTAGGCCTGTAATCCCAGCACTTTGGAAGGCCGAGGCAAACAGATCACTTGAGGCCAGGAGTTCGAGACCAGCCTGGCTAACATAGCAAAACCCGTCTCTACAAAAAAATACAAAAATTGGCAGCGTGTGGGGGTGCATGCCTGTAGTCCCAGCTACTCCAGAGGCTGAGGCAGGAAAATCGCTTGAATTGGGAGGTGGAGGTTGCAGTGAGACTTGATTGTGCCACTGCACTCCAGCCTGGGTGACAGAGTGAGACCCGGACAAAAAAAAAAGACTGTCTTTCACCTCCTCCGGAGTTTGGCGCATGGTAGGGGTTCAATCAGTGCTCTCCGGACTGTTCCAGCAGAACAACCTTGCAAGGGAGCTTCACTGGCTTTCTCCTCAAGATGTCTTCCAACCTACAAACATAACAGCGGCTGCCACTTATGTATTGTGCTACTGTGTGCGAAGCTGTGGGATCTGGTGCCTTTTATGGTAAGATTGTGGGCCTCATTTTACAGGAAGGAAACTGAGGCTCAGAGAGACTGGCAGGCCCAAGATCAGATGCTCATATCTATCTGGCCCCCAAAGGCAGGATTTTAACAGCTAAGAATATGGTCTCAGTTCCACAGGCCCACCCCAGGGCTCCTGAACCCCAGCTCGAGGCTGCGTGCCCTCAAACCAGGTCCCTCACTCCTTCAGCCTGATGCTTTGGGGCATCTTGCCCGGGAGGCCTTCGGGAGACCTTCCCCCTTTAATCTGTATCTCTTGTACTTGTGACTATCTTGTAATTTACACTGGCGCCCTCCATACACAATCCACATATGCCCCAAGGGGCCTCAGAATAAATAGTGGCGAGGAGAAAAAGCATTGGCAGGAGGAGCAATGGACGCAGGCCCCTGGACTGCGGGCAAAGGCGGGAAAATTCAGATCCAGCGCTTGCCTGCTGCCCGCAGGGGCGCAGTTCCCGGCGCGGCCACCAGATCGCGCCGGGCTCTATCGGGCAGGGCTTGCAGTAAGGCTGTGTGGCCGCCAGATGATGCCCGAGACCACTGCTCCGCGGGCAGTGCCCAGACAAGGTGGAGCCCGGCGGGCCCGCGAATCCGAGACGTGTCCCAGGAGCTCCAGCGCACGTGACCTGCCATTGCCTCCCGCCGCCTCCTGCCCGCGCCATGACCCAGCCGGTGCCCCGGCTCTCCGTGCCCGCCGCGCTGGCCCTGGGCTCAGCCGCGCTGGGCGCGGCCTTCGCCACTGGCCTCTTCCTGGGTGAGCAGGACCTTGTCCCGGCGGGCGGGCGGGTGGGCGGGCGCAAAGGAGGGCGCGGCGTGGCTCAGGTTAACCCCTGTGGCCGCAGAGCCCTCTACCCTGATCCAATATCTTCTCCCTGGCAGGAAGGCGGTGCCCCCCATGGCGAGGCCGGCGAGAGCAGTGCCTTCTTCCCCCCGAGGACAGCCCGCTGTGGCAGTATCTTCTGAGCCGCTCCATGCGGGAGCACCCGGCGCTGCGAAGCCTGAGGCTGGTCAGCAGGGCGCGGGACGGGAACGGGCGTCCCTCTCGGGCCCTGCGGGTCCCACGTGTCTGTGTGACCTTGGGCTGGGCCGTGGCCCTCTGGGCTTCCGGCTTCCCCGGGCCGGGTGCGGTGGGCGTTCCTGGAGGGTCTGTCCCCCAGGCCACGCCCAGAACCGCGCTCCTGGGAGTTTGGGACCCCAGGGCGAAGGTGGGTAACCGGCATGGCTGGTGACACCTTCTTTCACGCAGCTGACCCTGGAGCAGCCGCAGGGGGATTCCATGATGACCTGCGAGCAGGCCCAGCTCTTGGCCAACCTGGCGCGGCTCATCCAGGCCAAGAAGGCGCTGGACCTGGGTAGGGGCACGCGGCCGGGATCCCGGAGGGCCGAGGTTTCTGGGCCGACCCCCACTCTGCTCTGAGCCCGTCTGTGTTCTGGTCCCAGGCACTTTCACGGGCTACTCTGCCCTGGCCCTGGCCCTGGCGCTGCCCGCAGACGGGCGCGTGGTGACCTGCGAGGTGGAAGCGCAGCCCCCGGAGCTGGGGCGGCCCCTGTGGAGGCAGGTGAGCGCCCGCGCGTAGCCCCGCAGCCCCAGGCGAGGGCGCAACGGCTGACCCGCTTCCTCCGTAGGCCGAGGCGGAGCACAAGATCGACCTCCGGCTGAAGCCCGCCCTGCAGACCCTGGGTGAGCACCGAAGCGGGAAGGGTTTTGTGGCCATTGCAAACGAGGTCGCTGTGTGGCCGAGCTGTGACTAGGCCTGCGGGTTAAGGGCACAGCTGGCTATCACAGCGCCCGGGCCGGCCTGGGAGGGGCCTTAGGGACGCCCGGGCCGCGGACTCAGCGGCACCTGCCCTCCCTCCCGCTGCAAGACGAACTGCTGGCGGCGGGCGAGGCCGGCACCTTCGACGTGGCCGTGGTGGATGCGGACAAGGAGAACTGCGCTGCCTACTACGAGCGCTGCCTGCAGCTGCTGCGACCCGGAGGCATCCTCGCCGTCCTCAGAGTAAGGGATCCACTGCGGGGGAGGAGAAAGCACCCTCTCGGGGCGGGTCCCCATCTTTTTCCTTGACTCCTCTTATACCCCAAAGCCCCAGCCAGTCCAGTCACATAGGCTCCACCCCCTGCGGGGCTCCGGCCCCAGTAGGTACCCAGGCTTTCCTCCGCTTTGGTTCTCAGTCTCCGGCTCTGGTCACCTCCCGCCTGGGCACCTCCCTCCGAGGCCCCGCCTCCTGCCTGGGCACCTCCCTCCGAGGCCCCGCCTTCCGCCCGAGCACCTCCCTCCGAAGCCCCGCCTCCCACGGCCCGGTTGGCCCCGCCCTCCCGCAGGTCCTGTGGCGCGGGAAGGTGCTGCAACCTCCGAAAGGGGACGTGGCGGCCGAGTGTGTGCGAAACCTAAACGAACGCATCCGGCGGGACGTCAGGGTCTACATCAGCCTCCTGCCCCTGGGCGATGGCCTCACCTTGGCCTTCAAGATCTAGGGCTGGCCCCTAGTGAGCGAGGGAGGGTTGTCTGGGAACCCCAGGAATTGACCCTGAGTTTTAAATTCGAAAATAAAGTGGGGCTGGGACACACGACCTCCTGAGCCTCCGTGTGTGGCGCTGGTGGATGGGGAAGGGAGGGAAGGCCCAGCACAGATAGCTCCTTCAGTGAAAGGGGCCTTGAGGTTTGTCCCCTCCCTGGCGCCAGGTCTGTGGCCCTACTGCAGGAACCTCCAGCTGGCCGGAGACAGGTTATGAAGTTTTAATTGGCCTGGCCACATGTAATGGCCAGAGACCCCAGCTCCTCAGGCTTGTCTCCCTCCTGCATCTCTCCCTCAGGGCAGGCGAAGCTCTGGTTCCGTGAAGCTGGGGACTGGTGGAGGGCCACTATGGTGTCTGACAACAGGAAAGAGGATTGCAGGTGCCCACGGGTGTCACTTGTGTGCTTTTGTAGGTGATGCCAGTTCTGCTGGCGGCTTGCTCATATCTTCACAGCACAGTCAGCTCCCCAGCCTCACCTCTCCAGTGGAGGCCCTGGTAGGGGAACATCACCTCTGAGAGCCAGGTCAGTTGGCCTGGACCTGAGGCCCTCGGGGTTGACTTGAGTATCCCGCCGTCTCCTTGAAATTCTGAAGGAAAGTGAGGGGGATCATTGGCCAGGGAGGCGTGAAGCAAACAAGCCTACAGGTACAGCAGTTGTTACCACACTCCCTAGAGGATGAAGAGAACTTCAGGCTTTCCTGAACCATCTGCCTATGAGGTGAGGTGGAGAAGGAACCAGACCTTATGGAGCACTTTCGACCCAGGTGCTCTGCTCCTCATTTAAATCTCCCCAACCTCATAGATCTTATCTCCACTGACAGATGAAGGTCAAATTCTTTCCACTGACACTGCCTCAGGCATAAGTGGCATTAGCCTGGAATTCAAGCAGCCTTTGTCACTACCTGGTAAGCCTCTGTGATGGGAAGTGTCTCTGGAGACTGCTGGAAGCAGGGCTAAAGAGCTACATGAGGCTGGGTGCAGTGGCTCATGCCTGTAATCCTAGCACTTTGGGAGGTTGAAGCAGGTGGATCATTTGAGGTCACGAGTTCGAGACCAGCCTGGTCAACATGGTGAAACCTGGTCTCTACTAAAAATACAGAAATTAGGTGTGGTGGTACACACCTGTAATCCCAGCTACTGGGGAGGCTGAGGCAGAATTGCTTGAACCCAGGAGGCGGAGGTTGCAGTGAGCCCAGACTGCACCACTGCACTCCAGCGTGAGCAACAGAGCGAGACTCGTCTAAAAAGAAAAGAAAAAAAAAAAAAAAGCCACATGACCTCACAGCTCCTGGCACACACTTTGCATTTTGGACACTACACAGGACCATGGCTGGAAACCTACACTCTTCTAACTCATGAAAGCATATTAGGATGCACATGAGTGAATAGGTTCAATTTACTCTAAGCAGATCCTTGACAGCCAGCTAACTCACTTGTGCCACACCTCAGTCTAAATTACTGTAGCCACTGCCCAATAAAGGGCCACCTGTTAGCTAAGGGGCAGCAGTCCCCATGACTAGGATTTTTCCCTTTAGAGGACCACCAGCAGTGATTAGTTACCTGTGGGTCTACTTTACACTGTAAGAGTTGCTTTCAGGCCTAGCCTGCATGGACATCTTTTCATGTTTCTCCTCTTACCTGACTCAGGCTGACTCAAATTCTAACCTTCTGTCCCTTAAGTCATGTCTGTCTGGAGAGGGCCTTTCAGAGAACCATGATTCACATGGGCCATTCAAGCCAGTCCCCTAGGACAAAGTGGGACCAGAGGGGTCTTCATGCCCCCAACCCTCCTGTGTGGACAGCTTGCCTGAGCTCTGGTTTCTCACCAGCTTCTTCTAAATCTCAAAAGTTTGTAGCATGTATCATTTCTTGGGTGATGAGTCCTTCCATTTTCTTACCCATTTCTTATCACTCAGGCTCTACCATTCTTCAGGTCTACTATTACAGATTTGTTGAACAAATCTTCTCCAGCCTTTAATCGTATCATTCCAATTATCTCCTATCAGAAAACTTGCTCTTTCCTGCTTTTCCAATCAGAACCACCTATTAATGTCTCATTCATACCCAGATGAAGGCCAGTGCTACACAGCCAAAAGGGGTTGCCTCTGGTCTCCTACCTATACCCACCTTTCATTGTCTGCCTAGAAGGAAATGAGTAATGATCTCTCAGAGTCCCACAGGTTACCCTTACTGTCTACAACTTACTCCTCTTCTGTACGCCTAACACCATCGCACCAAACCAGGGCCTGCTTTATTTTCCTAGCAGTAGCTCACAGGGGTATGGTGTGTTTGTGTATCTTTTCAGCACCTTCTTTTTCCTTTCAGTTATGCAGGGCAATTCTGCACAGACTTACAAACTGAAGAGTGTAAAAGCATGTATCCTCTTACTGTAGTCTTAAAAAGCTCGTGGAATTATTCTAGGGACACAGAAGATTCTGTGGCACAGATTTAGGTAAAGAGCAAAATACTCACTGGAAAAATTAAATACTGGCTAGCTACCACGGAGATTTGACCCTAGCTGGCAAACGTGGAACTCTGCAAATACTTGGAGCCATTAATTATGTATACTTGTTTTATTCATAATTTGTCATGTTCTGGGATACCAAAAGTAATAATGGCTGAACTTAACAAAATTTTTAACCTCATCTCAATATCCACTGATCCATCTCATTCAATGGTAATAGTCAATGTTTTCTAAAGGAACATAAAAACAAACATGCACACAATTGCACAGTTTTCATAAAGGTCTATTTCATTATTGGTGGGTAGCGCATTTAACAGTTAAATACATTTAAATAATGTATAGGTGACTGCAGGACTGCAGCATTGGTAACTAGATAACCAATTCAACTAGAAACCAGCTAACAAGGAACTGTCTAAATACTTAAAATACAGCTCTTGTTGAGATCATCCTTTGTTTTGATCATCTTCTTGGGGGGGAAAAAGCCTGCTGCTGGTCACAATGGAAATATATTAAGGCCAAATCTTCTGATATCCATTCCCAAAGGTATCTTTCAGCTGGATTAAGCCTCCAACTCCAGGGCGAGCCCAAGCTTGTGGCCTCCAGCATTAATGCTCTTTCCGTCTACCAGAGCAGAGAGTGTAAGCTTCACACCTATTAAGACAAACACAAAAACAAAAAACTGTGATGTACCTGGCACTTCACTCAGTCTGAGCCTTCTTTCACAGTCATCCCCAGAAGCCTGCCTGTCACTTCCTCAGCCTGTCAGCTGACCTACTAGTGCTGGCCACCAGAGGGCGCTTGGAAGTATCTGAGACACCAGAAGGACTGGGTTACTATTCTAGTAAGGCACCAAGTCACAGAGAAATGTTTTAATAACAAGTTCAAAGTGCTCTAGAATATACAATAATGTTGAGTATACTATCCAGATGAAAAAAGACTAGAGACATAATCATAATTAGATCCTAGAAAGGGAAACCTACAATAAAGACACATTTGGGGACGGGGGTAAATCTGAATATATATTTGGTATTACATTAATGTTAGTTTTCTTAGATGCGATAATGGTATTGTGCTTATAAAGAAAAATGTCTTACTCTTAGGATACACATGCTAGGAGCTGCCGTGTCTGTATGTCTGCAAAACATACATTTTTTTTAAAAAAGTATGTGAAGTTTCAGAGACATAAATGTTGTAAATTTTAATAACTGGTCAACATAGGGTAAGGGTATATAATGTTCACTGTACCATTCTTCCAACTTTTCTTTAGGTTTCAAAATCGCCAAAATAAACTTTGGGAAGGAAAATCCCTATTTGGAGGGGGGAAAGTCCCCAGTACTTTAACCAGACTCCAAGATGAGTCATGTGCACTGTGAAGTTGGAGAAATGCTGCTCTAGACACAGCATGCTTCAAAATATTATATAAAGTCAACAAGACTATAGACAGAACCAAAGCAATGAGTGAACTTTTATCAACAAAATAAAAATTACTTTTATTTTAGAGAGAGAGAGAGAGAGAGAGAAAGGAAGGAAGGAAGGGAGGGAGGGAAAGAAAGAAAAAGAAAGGAAGGAAGGAAGGAAAGAGAGAGTTGTGGCAAAAGGTAAACATGTATTTATTGTACTCTTCTTTCAACTCTGTGTGCTTGAAAGGTCTGAAAAATAAGCTGAAGAATGAAAACTAATTTTTTTAATACTATCAAAACAATCCTACTTTATCAAGAATACTTACCAGGCCTCAGAGTCTGAGTGTAGCCTACTCCAATTAAGCTAGAGTTGTTGACTTTTGCCTAAAATAAAATTCAAAAACAACTGTAAGAAAAATATTTCAGTAGGGACAAGGCCCCTACATGTTTCCCCATCATGTAGTCATGAAGTGTTCAGTTTTATTCATGAGACAATAAAATTCATTATGTATTAAGCCAAACAGAAATCAGGTACTACTTAATTCGTATCCATTCAACTCAAAAATCAAATTGTCAGTAGGACACAATACTCCTGATAGCCACTGGAATGTATCCAAAGACCCCAAACTGTCCGTACAGCACAAGAGCCTAAGCACTCTCATAAAAATCATCTTTGTCGATTCTAGTCTAGCACAACAAAACCAGACCAAATGTGGTACAAATCAGGCTCACTAGAGGTGACACACAGCAGCCTTAAAGTGCAGGATATAAAGTTTAAATTCATGACTTAGTTACACACATGTAAACTTTCCTACTTTCAGGACTCTTCCTAAAGAACCAAAACCATCAATGTTAAAAGAAAAAAAAAAAATCTCCAAACAAGTAATTCCTCTGAAGAATCAGATCAAACAATCCTTTATCCTCACATTCTCACACCTCTCATGAATGCCAGTGCCGCTGAGTTCTGGCTGTATGTAACCACTGTGCTTGGGAGGAGGTCCCAGTGAGGTATCATGTCCCAATCCAGGCCCCTGCCTTCCTTGCACAATCCTAACATTTCAGGACTTACAGACTTCAAGGGCTGGAAGGAACCCTGAAGAGTAAGACATAGTAAGGAGTAGATTCCTTCTAGTTCCATTCTCTACCACCCCTAACATTATGAAGCCACACCAGAGGCCAGGAACACCTCCCTTCATTTCCAGGGCATAGGTTGCCTAGATACGCAACTTTGCTTTGCTTTCAGCATTCTGAGGGCTACTGTATAAAGGTAACAAACAGCTTATGTGACCAAAACAGATCTCCAAATGATTCATCCAAAGAGCCCAATCCAGAGAAAGAAATGATGTAACTATAGAGACACAAACCACATCCACACCACCTGTATTCACTTGGCACTACAGCCAAATATTCATGAGCTACCAATGACCATCTAAAACAAAAAACAGGCCTGGTGCAGTGACTGACACCAGTAATCCCAGCACTTTGGGGGCCAAGGCGGGAGGATCACATGAGCCCAGGAATTCAACAACAGTCTGAGCAACACAGTGAGACCCCTGTCTGTCTGTACAAAATTTTTCTAGCTTGGCATGATGGTGCACACCTACCCAACTATCGGGGAAGCGGGAGTGAGATGGAAGGAGCTCTTGAGCCCAGGTGGCTGAGGGTACAGTGAGCTGTGGTTGCACTAGTGAACTCCAGCCTAGGCAACACAAAGCAAAAAAAAAAAAGAAAAAGAAAAGAAAAAAAAATGCCTCACTAATGACCATCTGTGCCCTACAAATAAGAGCCTCAGACAGCTGAACAGACATTCCTATTATTGGCCGGGCGCAATGGTTCACACCTGTAATCCCAGCACTTTGGGAGGCTGAGGCGGGCAGATCACAAGGTCAGGAGATCGAGACCAGCCTGGCTAACACGGTGAAACCCTGTCTCTACTAAAAATACAAAAAATTAGCCAGGGCGTGAACCCGGAAGGCGGAGGTTGCAGTGAGCTGAGATTGCGCCACTGCACTCTAGCCTCGGCGACAGAGTGGGACTCCCGTCTCAAAAAAAAAAAAAAAAAAAGAAATTCCTACTATTGGCCAGACTCAGTGGCTCACGCCTGTAATCCCAGCACTTTGGGAGGATCACGAGGTCAGGAGTTCAAGACTAGCCTGGCCAAGATGGTGAAACCCCATCTCTACTAAAACTACAAAAATTAGCCAGGCACAGTGGCAGGCGCCTGTAATCCCAGCTACTCGGGGAGCTAAGGCAGGAGAATCGCTTGAATCCGGGTGGCAGAGGTTGCAGTGAGCAGAGATTGCACCACTGCACTCCAGCCAGGGCGACAAAGTGAGACTCTGTCTCAAAAAAAAAAAAAAAAGAAAAAAAAAAAAGAAATTCCTATTATTTAACAGTAGGAGTTAAACCATGAAACTGTGATAAGGAGTAGAAAAAATAAACTCAGTTTCTCCCTCTATACTCTCACAAGGCCTAGGGAGAATTTCCCACACATCAAGCAAACAATTCTGCAGCAGATTCCAGCTAGATGTTCTCTAATTCGATTCTGATACTATCTACCTGGAGAGAGAGCATTGGATCACACACAGGTTCAGCGCTCAGTTTCATAAAACTGCCCCACCCTCATTTTCAATGCCAATTGAAAGTTCCAGGTTGTTTTGCCTGTTTCTTACAGACTGGTTATAAGTCGGGGTTCCCACAAGTCCCTGGGGTTCAATTTCCCAGAGTGGCACAGAGAACTCAGGGAAACACTTACATTTACCAGTTATATAGGATATTTTAAAGGATGTAAATGAACAGCCAGATGAAGATACTTATGTATCTTTTCCTTTATAGGTGAGGTCTGGAAGGGTCCCAAGCACAGGAGCTTCCATCCCTGTGAAGCTGGGGTGCCCCATCCTCCCATAACATGAATGTATTATTGTTTACCTTCCTGAAGGCCCCCTGAACTCAGTCCTTTGGGTTTTTATGGAGACTTCATTACAAAGGCACGATTAATTAACTCACTGGTCACTGGCTCAACCTTTAGCTACTATGCCCTCCCCAAGGAAGGTTTGTTCCCTAGCAACCAGCACCCCCTACCATGTGGTCATCTAGGGACTATCCAAAAATCACCTCATTAACATAAGTTCAGATGTGGTTGAAAAGGACCCGTTAAAAATAACAAAATAGCCCAGGGCACAGTGGCTCGTGCCTGTTACCCCAGCACTTTGGGAGCCAAGGCAGGGGAATCACCTGAGGTCAGGGGTTAGAGACCCATCTGGCCAACATGGTGAAACCTCATTTGTACTGAAAATACAAAAATTAGCTGGGCGTGGTAACAGGCACCTGTCATCCCAGCTACTAGGTAGGCTGAGGCATGAGAACTACTTGAGCCTGGGAGGCAGACGTTGCAGTGAGCAGAGATGGTGCCACTGCACTCCATCCAGCCTGGGTGACAGCGAGATTTCATCTAAAAAAAAAAAAAAAAAC